ATCGTATAGAAAGTAGGTCAGAGGTAATCCACAGGGAAGAGTAGATCTCCGAAAAGTCAAACGAAGCCTTTTGGCCAATTACTAGTTTTCTGGCGTAAGCGTGCGGTTTAAGATCTACCCGATCATGAATCACCCAGAGGTAGCCTAAGTGATTCTTAAACATTTATGATTTATATACTTATATGTTAGGTTAGCATTCTCAGCATGTGAAACATTTGTCTAGTCTCTGCTGTTAGTTTTAAAGTATATTTGGTGTGAAAGTGATTAGCATGCTACCGTGCCTACACAGGACGCGAGCGAAAGCAAAAAAGACAGTAGAGCCCATTGATTATAATCAGTGATATTTCCTACACTGGATATAGCAACACTATACGGACGCGACTGCTTGAAGCAACAAAGCGCCCGTTGCAAAGAGCCTGGCCTACGTCAGGAATAACAGGGAATCCGTTTGCTGTTGGGAATTCACATTCAGTGTAGACAGTATTGATTATAATAAATAGGTTCTGCTGTCTTTTGTCGCGACAAGTCTCACTGCTCGCGTCCGGTCTAGACACTGTGTAAGTGTCATACATAAGTCTGTTATTAATGCAATTCTGCTTCATTCATTCCATGATCGGAATCCATGCTGATGTTTGTAAACTGTTTTGAGCTGAAGGCATCGTGAATAAACATATACGATTACAGTATAACCATTCATTTCCGCTCAATTTAATACACATTAAACTAATATATATATATATATCACGACACGTCTCACTGCTCGCGTCCGGATCTAGACACGTTGTAAGAGTCATACATAAGTCTGTTATTAATGCAATTTTGCTTCATTCATTCCGTGATCGGAATCCATGCTGATGTTTGTAAACTGTGTTTTGAGCTGAAGGCATTGTGAACAAACATTACAGTATAACCATTTATTTCTGCTTAATATAATGCACATTAAACTATATACACTATATACAGTATATATATACAGGATTGTAGGTTCACACAGTGTGCCTCTGTAGTCTTGTAGTCCTCTGTAACGGCGTCCAGAATAGATTATTTTTTATATATCGTGCTTTACTGTATGACATGCATCAATCCCTTATTTTTTTTCCCTGCGGAAAGAACTTAATATAAACGTGTGACTAGTTGACTAGAAAAAATCTTTAGCCGGGGGTAGGCCTATTCTTGGCACAAGGAACCGATCCATTTTTAAAATAATATGCTATGACATTACGAATGACTGCAAATCACATCACGTATTGCATTGCACGAGTTATCCATGTGAGTCAAATGTTTTTATTTTATTTCATCTTTTTTATGTATGGGGGTGCTAGCCCCTAGCGCCGCCCAGTAAAGACTATTATAGCGACATACAGGAGTCATATACTAGGTGCGCATGTGTCCGTTATTATTGATGCGCAAACAAACCTATCTGCGCTCATGGCGTCCTTACGATCGCTGAGTCTCCACACATTCAGAATGGTTTCATTTTTCATTTGTATTTTGGAGTGTTTAGTTATTCTGCATGGATCTGTGTGTGCAGTCCTTTGGCATCTCCCTGTGGTCTTGTTTGGTATGGCAGGTTGACTTGTGCTTATTTATGAGTTATTAACGAGTTTCCCCTTACAGGGATTAATAAAGTTTTAATCACTTAGGCTACCTCTGGGTGATTCATGATCAGGTAGATCTTAAACCACACACTTACGCCAGAAAACTACTAATTGGCCAAAAGGCTTCGTTTGACTTTTCGGAGATCTACTCTTCCCTGTGGATTACCTCTGACCTACTTTCTGTTAGATCTGAATTTCTGCGTATTGAATTTTAGAATATTGAATCGCTGTTTGAAAATACATGTCTATAAAACTCTGCCATGTGTTAAATTTAAACTATGTTAAAGTGTCATGTTTTGTTAAATGACACTTGTCAATAATTCAAATTTATTCAATTTGTTTTGTCATATTATAAGCTCCATACATATCCACATATTTGATTAATTTTGAACACTTTTTATTAGATCTGCATTTAATGGGTTACGAGTCCGACTCTCTAACCATTAGGCCACGACTTCCCCATTCTGTTTGTCCCACAGAAAACTAGGTGAACAAGACACTTTCTGAAGGTTATGAGAGACATGGATATTTATCTCAGAACAGAATCTATCAAATAAAGCGCTCTTGTACCAGCAAAACCTCAAATTCCCCAGACACCAACAGAACAAAACCCACATTAACACCATCAACTGAAACGCACTGAAACCTGCTGAATGTCATTAACTATTTCTGACCTGAAAAGATTTACCTCTCAGGAATGGAGTGATCGCTGAGCTTTTGTTAGGCTACTGTTTCATAATCAATTCAGAAAGCAGCGGCTAAACCGGATGCAGAAAGTGAAAATTGATTTGCGGTCTGGAATAAAGTATAAACTATAAACACTAGAGAGGCCATATGAAACAATCTGAATTTGGGCTGCGGGCCAGTGGTTCTATTACAATTTTAATCATCTGTTTTTAGAAATATGTAAAGGTTTGTGTGAGTGAAAACAAGAATGAGTGTTTAACATATGTGAGGGAATGAACTTCTAATGAAGCACTGAACTACTGCATGATGTGATCCAAAAAACCCTGACAAACTGAACTGGCTTCTCCATTTTACATCCACACAGACATACAGACATCTGAGAAGAGCAAAATCAAAGCTCCATTACCTATCCAAAAAAAAAGAAAAAAAAAAGAAAAGAAAAGAGAGAGAGAGCTCAACCATCATTTTCAGAAACAAGTGCAGTATACAGTATTCGCAGTGCATTCACACATGTCTGACTCTCTGTCTGTCTGTCTGTCTCACTGTCTGTCTGTCTGTCTCACTGTCTGTCTGTCTGTCTGACTCCCTGTCTGTCTGTCTGTCTGACTCTCTGTCTGTCTGTCTGTCTGACTCTCTGTCTGTCTGTCTGACTCACTGTCTGTCTGTCTCGGAGTCTAAATCTAGAAGTAAATGCAAAAGTAAAAAACATTGAATAATGTGTTGCTTATGTTTATTGTTTAAACATGTCTGTGAAAGATTGTATTACTGTACTGTGTAAAAAAAATAATTGCAATGCTGAAAAAGCATTTTCAATGACAATGTTTGAATTTGAAATCAAACTAATGGATAAATGTTGTGTTTGTGGTAAACACGGATCAGTAGCGGACTCCTGTGTGAAAGCTGCTTCTCTCACAAGAGACACCTAAGAGGAGAATTACCCACATTTTCAAAAATGAAATTCAGGCCCTGAATAAATGTCTAAAAATCCTGATTGGAGTATCACTATATATAGTTATAAATGATAAAAAGAAGGCTCTAAAAAGATCGGGATCGGTATCGGCAGATACTGCTTTCTGTGATCGGCGATCGGTGATCAGCTTCAAAAATCCTGATCGGAGCACCCCTAACAATTATTTAACAAATATGTGCATTAATTTCAGTTAATAATATTTACATAATATCACATCCACTGGGAATGAATGCAATAGTCTCCGACTGTTAAAATCTTCTAATGAAATCAGTGAGGTTGATATGAATTCAGTGTGTTCGTTGTTCTGTCTCACAGCTATAACAGTAAGAAGGGATTTCAGTCTTGAAATTCAAAAGAAATTTAACAGAGGTGATGGCATTCTGGGAAATCATTGTTAAAATAAAAATTAATTAAAATAAATGCATTAAATAAATATTATGAAATGTATTGTATAAAATACAGTATATATTAGCCTTAAATTTCAGGACTGGATCGGTCTAATCTCAGTGGATTAGCAATAAGACAGCTGCTCAGAGTTCATCAGCAATCAACAGCATCAGTGTCTGCGGGTAGATCCAGTCTTTCTGTACATACAGTATATGTCCTCAACGTCCTGCAAATCCAGTATGGCCATTTCTAGAGTTCTTGTAGTTTAAGACACTGCTCTAGAAAACATCCAGTCCAGTAAATCGAGTCTGACAAATTCCCTTGAGTCTGCAGCATGTGTCCTCTGTTGATCTGATCATTCTCAGCAGAAATTAAATAAACACACATAGCTAGACACATCCCTCTGTTGAGACAGCAGCTCTTACCTTACTGATTCAAACCAGTATCTGCTCACTGAGACGGCGAACAGAGAAAGAGGGAGAGATTCAGCAGATACAGACCCTTCTTTAGCCTGTGGGGACTGTCTAAAGCTGCCGTTCTCTCCACACTCACTCCAGCAGCTCCTCGAGTGACCCGAGGTACACGAAGCACTCACAAACAGGGACTGTACACAAGCCTTCATTTCAATGGAGCTTCTCGTCTCACAGCAACCGCGCTGGTTTGATAACTTGCTCTCAAGAGCTGCCTAAAAGACAATGCAATTCTATTTAGCAGCGGCCCCATGGCCAAACAGAGCTGTGAGCAGCCATCTGAACTGAAAGAGCAGGAGCACCACAATAATAAAAGAGAACAGCAGCCGTCTACAGCATTGCTCACGCTAGTAACATCACAACAGGTATGCAGCATGACAGTGTTCAACTAGTGATGTCCAGTTAGATATCTGACCTGAATGGATGGAGGTTTATCGGTTTGAAACGGCCTGCAGGAATAGCAGAATTCTTAGAATCCTGTAGGACAAAAGACAAAATACATAGCTAGTCTTTCACTGGTCTTTACATTACCTGGTTTACCTGATATTACACCAATTTTTGCTGCCTCTCAGGAGTCAGCCGCTCACTATTATTTACGGCACCGGGCTTCTTCTTAAACTCATGAGCCATGTGCAACAACTTGCTTAAGAGAAACTATGAAAACTTGCCAATAGACGTTTAAAGAGATGACAGCTTAACTGAAAGAAACGCACCGCTCGATACACCTGAAGACTTATACGTCACTTCTCTGAGAAGCAACCAAAAGGAAAATAAGAGAGGTGTTGGGCAGGTTGACATTTACATTCATTTCTTTAGCAGACAATTTTATCCAAACCGTCTTACAATAGAGGAGCATAAGCAATTTGTTACAAAGCCAAACAAGGGTTTAGGTTTATTTGAAAGGTAGATTACGAAACAAGCTAGAGCAGAGATTAAATGCAAAGAAGAGGAATTTGAGTTTTTAAGGGATTTTGAGTCATGATGATCAGCAGATCAGACGTCTCGTTCCACCAGCGGAGAGGGTGAGGGTTTTGGAGAGTGACTATGTTGTGAAGGAAGGACAAGTTGGCACTGGTTCACGGATCAAGCCTTGAATTAGATTCTGGCAGCGGCAGGAGGCAGGTCCTCAGGGATCACATGGAGAACCTCTGACTGCAGCCGCTCTCGGACAGTCCTTCTGATAACACAGATCAAGCTCAGCAACACTCACACAGATCCCAACAATTCCTCTTGATACAGTCAACATTAGCATTTTCAGTAACTAACAATGACAATTCATCAACACTTTGACCTTAAGAGCTAACTCGGACAGTCCTTCTGATAACACAGATCAAGCTCAGCAACACTCACACAGATACCAACAATTCCTCTTGATACACAGTCAACATTAGCATTTTCAGTAACTAACAATGACAATTCATCAACACTTTGACCTTAAGAGCTAATCCTAGCTCACATATGTGACCCAGGACCACAAAACCAGTCATAAGGGTCCATTTCTCGAGATTCATCTGAATAAATAAGCTTTCCATTGATGTATGGTTTGTTAGGATAGGACAATATTTGAAAATCTGGAATCTGAGGGTGCAAAAAAATCTAAATATTGAGAAAATCATCTTTAAAGTTGTTCAAATGAAGTTCTTAGCAATGCATATTACTAATCAAAATTTAAGTTTTGATATATTTACGGTAGGAAATTTACAAAATATCTTCATGGAACATAATCTTTACTTAATATCCTAATGATTTTTGGCATAAAAGAAAAATGTATAATTTTGACCCATACAATGTATTGTTGGCTATTGCTGCAAATATACCCCAGCGACTTAACACTGCTTTTGTGCTCCAGGGTCACATATATGCTATGTTATTCTTTCTTTAACAGTAATAATTCAGGCAAATATCAGAGAGAGAAGCATATACACGATATACACAACAATGCTTAAAATGACACCTCTTTTGAGCCGGGTTTATAATGGACAGCATGTGGAATTGCCTGTTAAAAAAGTGTTAAATTGACAGAATAGGTTTTGTCAACAGTAATTAAGCAGGCCTAATCAAGTAATCAATCATTTAGTCGAGGTCTGAGTGAAGGAGGGACATGAACCTGGTACCTGATTGAAGGCATAATTTCTTATGTTCATGTAATAACCCTTGCAGCTTTCAAATATAGTCAACTCAAACTCATTTGTATAGCGCTTTTCACAATATACATTGTTTCAAAGCAGCTTTACAGAAAATCATGATGATGTTAATATTTATATCTTACTGCCTTATAATGCCATTTAGCAGATTAGATCTGTGCGATAACAGTTTAGATTTTGCAACAAGATTATGATTATGAGCACTTATTATGTCTCATTCAAACAGCAGTGTGTGAGACACACACACAATACACTCCAGATGAAGTCTCTCTTGTCGTCTCTGATCTCGCTTCTACAGGTTTGACTCACGAACACAAACTCCCTCCCAGTGGCTCATGACCAGTGTTGGGCAAGTTACTTCCAAAATGTAATACATTATATATATATTACTAGTTACTGTCTTTTGAAAGTAATTAGTTACATTACAATATTACTGTCTCTGAATTGTAATGCGTTACACTACTTTTGAGTTACTTTTACAAGATTATCCACATAAGTATTAGCAATAAAATGCCAAAATGTAGTCCACTGCTGCTCATTCTACACCCAGTGGAGGGTAATGTGGTAGGTCTATATAGCATAAAATATATGAAATCATATTTAGATACCGGTATGTAGGTCTACATTAATGTTGTAGTTTAGGTTAAACACAGATAAGCACAAACCGCATTATTACATTCATAAATAACACCGGTAAATAAAGCGAAATGTTATAATGTACAAACAATAAACACAATACCTAGCCTATAGGCTATTTTGAACGGTTTCAGAAGAAAAGAATGAAAAATATAAGTTGCTAAACAAGCCAAAATTAGGCTAATTCAATGCGAAACTGAAAGCAAACGGCGTACTTCTCTCATTCAGCATTAATCCAATTAAATGTGTCCATGTTTGCGAAGTATTTGAACTATTATTTATTATGTAAACCAGGCTTACTTAACGCGCTTAAAAAGAACGAGCAAATGTGTGTTTGGCCCGAGCTCAGGCTGAACGGCACGGATTGTAACTACGCAGTACGCACTATTTAAATTAACCAGTGTATCTATATGTTTGGTTGACTGTATTTTATTCTGATAATGAACGGCTGAAAGGTTTGCAATGCTGTGTGTGTGCGTGAGGCGCCGGCGCGATCCAACAGCGGAAACATGTTATTTTTGGTCATACAGATCATTCGAAACTGCAATGCGTTTACTTTATTTCTGTCATCTCGGTTTCCTTTCCGTGGGCTTTCGTAGAGCGCCGCGCCACACAAATAGCCTGAACCAAACTCAGCAGCATATCTCTCAGTCTTTTCCTTTCGTTTTGTTTAATTAGGCTATTTAAGTCAAATATTTTGCATAGCCTATTCATTCATTTTATATATAGACTATGATTTAATAAAAACAGATTTTGTTATTTTTAGTTAAACTTGATTTGTGTTCCTTGTCTGCGCTCGTCCGCCGCCCTTTCCTCTTCTCCGCCCCGCGGCTCTCTCTCTCCGACAGCTCCGTGTTAGTGGCACCAGTCCAGTGTTTCCAGGTTTTACTCCTGCTATCTCTCCATGTTGTGGAGAACCTCACAAATGTAGAATCCGTCTCTGCAGTCATCTCAACCATTTAACTCCAGCAACAGAAGATAGACGAACTATTTTCTCTGGTGCTGTTTTGCGGTGTTGGTAAATTCACCACTTAACTTAGAGTTAAAATATGTTGTTGTAACTTGCGTTACTGAGATTGTAACGAGTAATAATATTACCCAAATTTGATTAGTAATGCGTTATATTACTGCGTTACAGCAAAAAGTAATATACTACTGTAATATTATTTTTGTAATGCGTTACTCCCAACACTGCTCATGACATTTATCAAATCTACTTGGTCAGAGTTTTAGAACCACTGAATATATAGGTACATTCAAAATTGTAATTACATTGCATTCAGAATCACTCATATTAACATTCATGTTTTTTTTTCAATAAAAAAACATTTCTGCATAATCATACTGAGTGGGCTACAAGCTCATAACAATCTCTCCAGTCCAAATTAAATCACATTCAGAGCCCAAGTCCTCCTGCTATGACCACACAAGTGCTTTGGTTTGTCGATGTGCTTCAGTAGCTCGACATCACATCAATTATTCACTAATGCTCACATCAGATCACGCAAATTAGATTTAAATTGGTACACAAACCCTGCCGAGACTCAGGTGAGGAGATATGGAGGACATGGAGTTATACCAAGGTAAAAAAACACCAAATTCACCTCATTTATGTCAACTGACTGAGTATCACTTTCCATGACAAAAGCAATGATACACTTAGTGAGAAACACCACACAAATGTCCTCAGCAGTGCCATCATCCTTCACATCCACACAGATCAGCCATTGTTGTCCGACAGATACACACCCAAAGACACTCACTCACAAACACACATACAAACTCTCTCTCTCACACACACACACACACAGACTCACACACACACCTCTGGGTTGTGTTTGTATCTACTGCATTAATTCCTGCACTATAAGAATTTAATTCATATTGAGACGTCTCATCTAAATCAATAATCAAAATCAGCCAAACAGCCCAGTCATGAATATTCATCCTCGAAGGTTCACTTCATGAATATTTACACCTACTTTCCAACAGTTTTGCCAAAGCCGTTTTCTTTGCCAAAAGTGCTAATAAGTGAATCTATTTATTGATTTTCCTTCAGACTTTTAATTCTACATTTACCGGTTTATGTCCGTATGAGAGTGACAGAGAAAGAGGACAGGCATTTTATTCTGGGCTTCTGTCTGCAGAGACAAAAAACACCTGCAGCACCGACATTACTGTGTTTCAGGAATAATCACACACACACACACTCTCTCACACACACACACGCACTTACACACTCTCACAAACACACACTTATTTTGTTTGTTAGTAAAGGCATCTCACAGTGTGCAATAATTGCATGTTCTATACAATCTCTGGAATAGATAAGAGTGTGTGTGTGTGAGAGTGTGTGTGTGAGTGCGTGTGTGAGAGAGAGAGTGTGTGTGCGTGAGTGAGTGAGTACGCGTGTGTGAGTGAGTGAGTACGCGTGTGTGTGTGCATGTGAGTGAGTGAGTGAGTGAGTGAGTGAGAATGGGAAATGAAAGACTGTAATATATAAGTTTGTTCTCTTGAAAGCATTTAAGATCTTCATACATTCATTCTGCTCAGATAAGAATCAACAAACTCAATGTGTTCTCAACGCTGCACACTTGAATGAACACAAATCGGTTCGTTTGGATGATTCATTTCCATAATGAAAGCTCCTTCTAAAAGCTGATTGACAGATTCATTTGAATCAGTCAACAGTGTTTCCAGAAGAATACGGCTGGAATAACTGAAGTTCACAGTCAGCAGCATGAGCCACGCGACATCAGAACCTCACGCTTAATCTTCATGCTCAGGTGTGAAGAGCATCTGGAAACTCCACCATATGGATGTCTCCTGTCACAGCAGATGGACCCTTAGCATCGAACACAGCTGATCTCTCGTCAGCGATACCGTCAGCTGTCTGCGCTCACCATCTAAATCACTGTCAGGCTCTTACAGCTGTGTACATGCAGGGCTCCAGACTGACACTATTGTTCTGCCGGCGCGACTACATTCTGTGAGCGCTCGCACTGGTCCGAGCTCAGAACAGCTTTACTCTGGCGACACAGTTACTGTACAGCGCTGCGAGATCCAGAGAGAAGCCTTCGAATTCTGCTCAGAAATCTGTTATAAACAGATCAAACAGCGCTGACGCAGAAAACCAGAAGTATTAATGCTAACTATAACCACGGTGTTGTGCAGAAATAGTCAAATGTTATTACATTATTCATTTCAGGGTTTGTACAACCTTTTGAGAGAGAAATTCAAGCACTTTGACTTTCGAGAATCACATAAAGCAAGTAAAGAGCGCTCCTTTTATAATCACTAAAGTTGTCGTTCAGATCTGTATAATACTATAGAAGAATAATGGTACATTTAATAAGAGTACAAAAAAAAGTTCCATATAAAACTTAGATTTTGCACA